CTCTTTCCTCCTCTACTTTCTGGCTACAGAACCTCTTTTTTGTGTTGTTGGGAATCTATAACTCTGAGACTCAGATGAAGCTGATCCCATCTTGTATTTCATACTTACAGGGATTCTCCCATCTTATTTGCCTCGGTGATGAATTCAGGGATGGGAACTGAACCAAGGCAAGCAAATCCAAATGCTCCCTGGGACTTCTCATTGTAAGTACAAGGAAAGATGGCTCTTTTGAATTGGGGTTTGCTCAGTGGATTGGATGTGAGCTTGGCACTACTGATCACTGTTTTGCATAACAAGTGTACAGACTAATGTCTAAGAAATGGAGTATAGACCCTGATGACACCATTTGAGTCCTGCATGCTACTCTGCCTGAACTCACTTTACCCTCAGACTTCCTGGCTGTGTGAACCATTTTATTTCTTTTTGTTTGAACTAGGTTGAACTGTGTTTCTGTCACATGTAACTAAAAAAATTCCTGGTTAAGTCAATATTCACCAGAGGTCTAATCTTTAAAAATAAAACAAGTGTCAGACTACACTTTTTCTTCCATTACATTAGGTTAAATTGTGGGCATTCTAGTTTCATCATTAAGATACTGTGCGTGCAGCTAAGATCATCTGGCAGCTGAGGGCCCTGGTAAGTGTTCTGAGAGTTTTAAGGAAGTAGATGTCCTGATCTGTTATCACTCGGATACCCCTGGAGTCAAAGGGGCAAATGCCTGAAATCTCTGTGGCAGTGTAGAGCCAAGAAATCCTGGATGCCCCAGAGACTCATACATGTTTGTAAACAAAACAATAGAAGTGAGGAGACCTGAGTTTAAGGCTTGGCTCTGCCACTGATTTGCCTAATGATCTTGAATGTCTTTTAGACTCTTTGGCCTCAATTTCCAAGTTTGTAAAATGCAAGGGAGTAGCAAGGTGAAAGAGGGTATTGTGGCTTCAGGGTGGCTTTGGGATGAAGTAATAATAAGAGGCCAGTAGCAGACATAGGTCTGGGGGGCCCATGCTAAGGTTCTAATGCTCATGGCCAATCTGCTCCGTGACATCTAAGTTAAAGATTTGGCTAAAGAGGTAAAATGAACCATCAGGAAACAAGTGCATTTGGGGGAGCCTGACTTAGAGTCAAAGGACACAAGGAAGATTAAAAGTGGTCTCATACAGAGAAGGGCTTAATAATACTTTTGTTAAGAATCTACACTGTAAAAAATACTGGGTGAATTTCATCTCTACCTGAAATATTTCACTGTTCTCCTACAGTTTACCCCCTATGCCCTTTTAAACCTAAAATAAATATGCCACACATTTTGACTTTGGAGATATCTTTGGAACAAAATTTCATCTATTTCCATCGCATAATATTTAATAACTTTGCATTGCATATAAATGATGAAAGTGTCAACATGAATGTCTTTTTTGGCCTTAATAAAGCTAACTAAACAGTTCTGGGTTAAAAAAAAACAATATTAAAAAGAAAGCAATCATGCATGTGTTGTATTAAGCTGCCTACACACAGAAAAAAGGGTGGGAAAGATGGAACACATAATTAGAAATAATTTTTTAATTTTCAAAGCAGAGCCACAGTAAATTCCCATAAAACCTATTCATTAATCATCCAATTTTAAGCAAAGACAGCTTTTCATTAAACATTCTAGGGTGTTAGTTAGTTACGAAATGTATCTGGTGCAGAGAATTATTGGACAGAAACTACTTTAGAATATATGTCAAAATTTTTGTTTTATCAAGGATTAATTAAGCCATTTAAAAATGAGTTATTTAGGGCTTCCCTGGTGGTGCAGTGGTTGAGAGTCCGCCTGCCGATGCAGGGGACACGGGTTCGTGCCCCGGTCTGGGAAGATCCCACATGCCGCGGAGTGGCTGGGCCCGTGAGCCATGGCTGCTGAGCCTGCGCTTCCGGAGCCTGTGCTCCATAACGGGAGAGGCCACAACAGTGAGAGGCCCGTGTAACGCAAAAAAAAAATGAGTTATTAAGCAAGACTAATTGTGTATTGATATCAGTACTAGTTTGTGACAATAATTCTGCATTTTCTAGTTAATAGAGTTGGAGGGGCATGCATTCAGAAGTAGTTTAAAAACATTAGATTTTACCCATTTTTATTTCAAATTTAGGGTTTTTTTTTAAAGATACAGTTTTAAAGGAAAATGACTCTGAAAACAGTGATTTTCATTGTTTTGTATGATCTAATCTAATCAATAGCATTCTTACTAGAAATTTTTTCTAAAGTTAGAACATATTGACTATTTCTTTTGGCATTTGAATTTTTATTTTAAACTTTCTTCTTTATAGTCTGAACAAATTAACAAATACATATCTTAAAAAGAGTTCTTTCTCTGCTTAAGAATAGGTAAGTAATTAATTAGTTTATTAATTACTGATAGCATTAATTATGTCTGAAGAAGTGAACTGTATAAAATAAAATGATAATTATCTCTGAAATGATTGTATAAGTCCATAGGACATTTGATTTCCTACAAATTGTTTTCTGTTAGTTCTGTATTCATCACATGTCTTACTTAGATTCCCCAGTGGTATTTTTTTTTTTTTTTTTTTTTTTTCGTT